CTTTTTGTGTGCTTGTATGAGTTAGTTAGCCGGCTGGCAATGATGAATATATTGAATTATAAATTGATCTATGAATGATGAGCAAGTTGCATGCCCAGATTAATTTTTGTTTTTCCATATGAAATTTGATATATATTGAGTACGTGAATTAAGTTAAGCATTGTGTAGAAATAAGTTGATTTCTTAATTGGATAGGTTAAAATAGTGGACCATGGATGCTAAACCTAAAACCACTATATTCTAAATTCTTGGACCAAATTTAGAATAGTTTGGGGGTATTTCACTATTGTAGGGAGATATTGAGACAAATATGGATTCCATGTGTGAAATTAAAAATCTTGTGTGGATTGTCTAAGGTCAATATGATGCAATTTTGTGAAAATCTTAAATTAAAGGTTGGTTTACTTGAATAAGTGTTTAATGAGGGGCATTGTGCTAATCAAGGCATACAAAAATATTTTATTTGAAAATTTCTGTTTGTAGCATTTATGACTCGAGCAATTAAGCCTGCAAGGATTTTTAAAACCTGGTACCCTATGGTCATCTGACTTGGGAGTCATCGGTCGAAAGCTTGTTACATGGGGCATTTAGAAAGTTTAAGGATAGAATGCCTCAAATAAAGAAAAAAATGTTGAAATAAAAAAAAAAGATTGAGAAAAAAAAAAGAATCAGAAAAAGCAGATGCATGAAATAGAAGACGCACCAAATGCCTTGATTATGTCTCCAACACTTAAGAAAATTCAACTTTTAATAAAGGATTATTAGTAGGGGTGGGCGTAGGTTGGGTTGGGTAGGTTTTTGCCCCAACCGAAACCCAACCCAACATTGTCGGTTTGTTCGAAATCCAACCCAACCCACGTAAATGTTGAAACCCAACCCAACCCAACCGAATTATGTGTCGGTCGGGTTGATCGCTTTGAATTATAAATTCCAATTTTTTTTGACACGTGTTGGAATTAAATGAATTGAGATCCTAGCGGGACAAGTAGTATAGCTTGGGAATTGTATGTGAACATTTCCCAATCTGATGTGAGACTAGAGACACGGCATCATAGCTAATATAATAAGGACATAAAAAAAATATGAAGAGAACAAGAGTAGTGGGACGTAATTGAAAATCGACATTTATGTTAAATTTGATTATGAAATAAGAATTATCGAACGAAATGACTTGACAAGACAAATATGGACATAGTGCAGTTTTAGATTAGAGATTGAACCAAACGCGAACGATGGATCGAATTGAAGAAATTCGAAGTCACTTCATTTAACATACTTCATTTTTTGAAATGTCTTGTGATCATCCATAGTGATTCATACTCTATAATGTAATTTTTTATGATACAACATGACTTTTTGACTTTATTGAATATAAAAAACTAGTAAAATAATTACTTAATTTAGCCTCTCTACTTCATCCCTAAATCTCACGCTGGTATTCCTTATCTTCAAGAAATTTTTAATTGAAATCCTCGATCAATTTTGAAAGCTCCAGTTTTAATAATAAAAAATTGCTAACAAAAACTAATTCTTAATACAATCTGAAAATAATTAAGAAACCTATTCGTCGTTTTTTCAATTTAACGTCTTTTTTTTTTGGGGTTAGGTTGGGTTGGGTTGGGTCGGGTTTAGGATGCCAACCCGCGACCCGATCCGACCACCTAACCTGAAACCCGAAAATCGCCCAAAAAATGCAAAAAATCGACCCAAACCGATCGGTTTGGGTTGGTTCGGTCGGTTTCGTCGGGTCGGTCGGTTTTTTGCCCACCCCTAATTATTAGTCTAGTTAAGTCTTAAAGATTGAAGCAATCAAATTTAATAGAAAATCCTTATTTATTGACATATTGACTTGCAATTAGTGAGATTTACCTAAATTAGAGAGGTGATAACAATATAAAATTCAATCGTAGTTCACACGCTTGAAAAGAGCGAAAGGAATAAGTTTGGGGGTATATGAATCTTACGAGTGAGGAAAAAACATATTTGACTATTGAGGGTCGAGAATTGAAACATCTTATGAATTCATAATGCTATTCTTAATTCTTCACACACACACGTCAATTTTTCATTGGAAAAGTAAATTTTAATTTATGTAGTGTGATTTTGAAGTTGTGTATAAATTTGATATTATGATTTCAATTTTGAGACAAAAAGTGAGGTTAGCTAGTTAAATCATTTTACATTGCTTGATTGAATGGCCACCAATTTGGTAATTAGCATTGCATGTTCGTTGTTTATTAAGTTAGATTACGATTTTGTTTGAGGACAAACAAATGTTTAAGTTTGGGGTGTTTGATAAGTGCATTTTATACACTTATCCGGGCTCCAAATTATGACATTTTGTGGTTCTTTTAATGAGATTATAGCCTAATTTATGATATAATATGTTATTAAGTGGAATTTGATGGATGATGAAGAATTGGAGAAAAGAATGTAAAATTCGCGAAAAAAAGCAAGATCCAAAGTTTGGGGACTGAAGTGCAAATGCTCAAAAGTTGTGTAGAACTCGACGATGAATATTCGAGAGTACTAGGAGTCAATTGGATAAAGGAAGACGTCAAAGGGATAAAATATTGTCAAAATCTGATCACACATCAATTTAGGATTGAAAGAGTTATGCATCGATTTTTAGACTCATAGTGAGATCCATATTTGATAGAGCAAAAGATCGAATTTGAAGATGATTTCTGAAGAATCATTTTAGCTCTTTAAGTTAGATTTCTACCGCATCTTGAATTACCTCAATCGGATATCGGGAGAGAAAGTTATGACAAAAATATTGAAGAAAGCGCAGAATTCGGAACAGCGATACAGCGCCAGGGCGCTACAACCTAGCGCCTAGGCGCCCGAACATTGATTATTTCCAGTAAGGCAGCGCCCAGGTGTTGCAATAGTGGCGCCTAAGCGCCGCGTCGTCAATTTTTAGGTTTTGTTGTTTGGGCCGCGAGAAATCCACAAAAAAACTCCAAATCGGCCAAGAACGTATATGGAAGTATAAATAGACTTAAGGAGACATGAAAAGGGGTTCCCACTCATTGAAAAGAGGGTTCCAAACATTGAGAAAGGGGGATACAGCAGGAGATCGAAGAGCCCAACTCAAAGAAGAGAATCATCACGGTATTCGAGTTTAAAGCGTTGATTGGAAGTGGAAGAAGATCTTGGTGCAAGATTTAATTCGTTTCTACATCTTTATTAAAATTCAGTGATGTATTCCATTACTTTTAGTGTTTATTTCTACATTATGAACAATTAAATTCCTTATTAGGGCAAACAATGTAATCTATTGAGACCCTTAGTTCTTTAATTTAAGAATTCCGTGTTTTATTCTTTCATGTATTGATTTTATTATGTTTGTTATGCATTGAATTACTTGATCAATAATTTGATGATGCATTGATTTTCTTATGAATCGAGAAGTGAGTTTGAGACTTAGAACGTATAATAAAATCTGGTAACGAAAAATAACGTGTAGAGATACTTATACCTAGTACTGCGGTCGTTATAAGAATTCCTAGTGACATAACTCATTTAACTAAGGGTAATTCGCATAGAGATATGAAATTGAATTAGTTAAATAGGCTCAATGAGAACTCAAGAGGGGTAAATTGAATACCGTAGGAGAATTCGACCGAACACTACATTAGGCTAGAATCTTGAATTGGTAACTAAGGTGATCATTAGGTGAAATTGTTTTGCCCTAATACTTCTCACATATTTGAATCTTCGATCTGTTTATCTCCAATATTCGTTCTTCATTAGATGAACTTGTTTTACCCTAATATTTATTATGTATTCCAATTTTTCTATCAATCAGTGTTTTGAAATCTTTTTATACTTTCCATTAGTTTTAGATAGTTAGTTCAAAAAAGAAAAATAATTTTCACAACTTTTACCATACTTTATTTGTTTACTTTCATCAAATAAGAGTTAGAAAAAGTAGATTAAGACTAAATTATAGTACTCGTGGGAACGATAATCCGGATTCAAAGGTTCACTTTACTACTTTCTACGATGTTTTACACTTGCGATTGAAAAAACGCAACAAACCTCCAAAAGATTCCTTGACTTTTGTAATTCTTTTACAATAATCTTTTCCTTTTATAATAATCATTTTATTTAAAGAATTGTCAGTACAACTCAAATCCTAATGTTAGGAAAATTCCGACAATGAAATTTTGTGTTCCTGATTTTTTGGGAGGGGGAGGGCGGGGACCCCAAGTCAAGAAAGAGCCAAGTGGCGTGACAACATATCGACAGTAGAGAAAGTGGAGAGAGCGGGGTGAAAGGAGGGTAAGCAAATTTCCTAGTAGAAGATCTGAATCTCCAATTACCATATGCTAATTCTTCAGTAGTGGTGACGACCATGACGATAGTGGATTGGGCCTAGTAAGTTGTGGCGTCGACGATTGGCAGTGCCGGTGGTTCCAGTTTGGGGATGAAAGAAAATGATTACATTCTATCTTCTTGTTTTTTGTTTAAAATCTTTGCATTTTTAGAATTTTATTTTTGAGATGATAAATTTGCCTCTTTCAATAAAAACAAAATAAGAGTAATTGCAGTCCATAACCAAAATTAACATCCATTTTTGCGTAGGTTTGGGACCATTTGGGCCATAATTTAAGCCCTTGGACCACCTTTTTATCTCATTAAAATGACCGTTATCCATCACATCAATATTTAAATTTAAATTTTCTATCTCTTGTGTGGGTCCCAATAACTGCTATATTTTTCATTCTCATTCTACAATAAGGTGGCTCAAACATGGCCTAAAGGTTTTGACAAAAAAATGCAAGATCGGTAAAGCTTAGGGACCATTTCCACCAATTTTTCCAAAATTTACAGCCTTTTATTCTAATTTACAGCACAGCATACAACATCGAAGAAAAATGTACAAGTCATACCCTTGTTGTGCATATCATAAACTCGTGCAGATCGAAGAGACGGGAAAAAGAAAACAACAGATAAGTAAAGTAAACATGAAGAACAACTTAGTATAGATTTTACTTTAATTGCACAACTATGATACTTATATTATCTCTGCTTCCTTTAGCAATGGCAAGCTCCGCTAGTATTGTTGCTGCCTCTGTAGTACCATCACCTCTGTGTGAAAATTGACTCCTGTTTCGACGAAGACATTTTCTTACAACTTGACATGCAACCTCGTTGTACACCACTTCCCATAGACCATCCGTTGCTATTATAAGAAAGTCATCGGACCCTATTCGCTTTTGAACATTAACCTCCGGCTCGAAAATTACAAATGGTCTCAGGCAATAATTACCTTAAATCAATTAACTTCGTCATTAAATCTTAAAAAGGGAGGAACAAATAATGAAAATTTCATCCTTTCAAGTTCAAAACATGGAACTAAACAATTCACAACACAATCATAAAGTTACCGTGATTAACATTAATAACTACTTAGGTTACCAATTGCAAACCATTAAATTACGTGACAAAAATATCCTTATATACGTAATAACTTACCTAAAGATCTTGAAGTGGCAAGAATTCCTTCGACTCTCCAACCGTTCCAATTTAGGATCCTTCCTCCCGCAGCTTCTATCCTCCCCTTCTCATCTTGTCTATCAGGCTATTTAAAAGTAATGAGCAAATTATCAATTAACAATAAATGAAGCAATAGAAAGTGGCACAATGAAAGAGACTTCCTTTTTGATCGAAGTATTTTAGTAGTAATATATTTACTCAAATTTACAAATTTTATCACAATAGTTTGAGTTTTCACAGACATTAACACGTGTAGCACATACGTCACCTTAATCAAAAGGACCAAATTACAAAAAATAAAAAATAAAAAAAATCCTTGTCCCTTTCCAAATTAGGAAAAGAGTGACACGTCACCTTATGGTCACATGACAGTGGCACCGCAACACCGCCGCGGGAAAGAACCGCCCTTGAATCACCGCAATTTGCCACCACCAACCCCTCCTTACCCACCAAAACCACCACCGCCGTCGACCCAACCTTCCTCCACTCCGCCGTCTCCACGCCACCACTACGACCACCTTCCTCCAAAACTTCGTTATCCATACTTCTAAAACATTCCCCCATCACTTTTTTCCAGTCAAATTCTTTTCCCAGTGGCAGTTTCTTTTCCATTTCTATATGCTTCTCAAGATACTTATGCAACTTTTTACTGCATTTTTCAGCCACCGTAGACCCTCCGTGCCCGTCGTAAACAGCAAAAAAAGCATAGTCCGTCCCTGCCATCCACCTTGGCGCCACCGTAATTGCATCCTCCATTGTCCTTCTCCGCCCCATCACCGATATGTATCCATACCTCAAGCCACTAGCAAGGCTCTCTAACTTTCTTTCTCCGCCAGAAACACTGATGTCCTCAACATATGAAGTTGAAGTGGTTGATTGCGACTCGGAGCAAGGATTGAACTCGGATTCCAATCTAATCGACCTCAACCTTCGAATTTTCAGTCTTCTCAGGCGAGCCTTTCGAGCTTTTTTAGCGTGTGAAGCGCTCGCCTTACCTGACTCCACTGTCATTCTTGTACCTGCATTATTTCACGGTGATCGAAACACTTCGTGCACGAAACTTTTCAGATATTAATCAGAATTGCTTGTGTATAACTAACGCTTATATATGTAGATAAGAGAGATTGAAGGGCAACGTGTCGTGGACAAGGCAAAGGGAAATATCTGTTTTATAATGAGTGAAGAAGCGGCTTAGGGTATTCTTAGAGTGACACGTAGTGGCAGAGGGTGGAAGGTGACTGCTTCTGCGGTGGAGATTTGTATGTATTTCTTTGGATGGGAAAACCCAAACTACGGCGGGTTTGCTACATGTTAACGTGTCCCGTGGAATTTTCACTATGTTACATGTGTATCATGTCGAGAGAAGTTGATAAAGAACCAAAATAAAACTTCCAACAAGAAATCGTCAAAGTAGAAGGTTTGAACATGATTATGAATCGCTGTCCTAAAATGATATTTGCCACCACCAGGGTAAGTACTTGAAGACTTTTATGACAAATAGTTTGTAGGAGTAAACAAAACTTAATCCAAGTTTGAACAAGCAAACAAAACTTAGAAAAATGAATTAAAGAACAAAATTATAAAAACTTGGTTCGATCTTTGATTTTGGATGATGAATAAATTTGAAGTTTGTGAAATGATTTCAATCATGAAAACCACTTATATATATAAAATTACAATCACCATGTACGAAAATGTGCAAAAATCAAACCAAAAGGGTGTAAAACCCTTCAAAACGACACTAGAATTCAAAATCACAATGAAATTTTTTTTTGTAAGAGCGGTCGCCCAGTACAGAACCTAGCACCAGCTTAGTTTAACAAAATGGTTATTGTAATTGCAACAAAGCTGCCTAGCCATCTTTTGGCCATCACGCCATCACTGTTTTTTATTCTCGTTTTGTTTTTGCTTATTTTTCTCATGATTAACCATTTTCATCATTTCCAAGATCACTTCTCATTGTTAATTTGAACAATATTTAGCAATTCACCACTTGTTCAAATATAAAATGAGTTCAAACTCAAGTTTAACGACACTTATGCATAAAATATGGATATTTTTCAATTTAAATCTAACCTTAGTATAAATCTCACAAAGTCATCATCGAAATCCTAGGTAGCATGAAAGCTTTGAACCTACTATTGTTTGTGATGATACTCATGAAATTATACACACAAGTATCGAGTATTCAAAGTTCCACGCAATCTTGTTTAACGCTTTTATGGCCTTGCGCTTCTCTTATTCATAAACTTTTAAGAGAGAAACTCCAACTCTCTACAGAAGTGGCACCACCTCGAAATTTATATAGGTAAAGTTCTTGCAGCATTTTTGTCACTTTTAGATATACTTGATCTATCAATCTGAATTTTATTAAGAGTTATAGAAACTGAACCTTCATATTCGTGACAACCAGCACTTGTAACCTATGATAGGGTTTTAAAAGAAAAAATAAGTGTTGAATTTATCTATTTATAGAATGACTTGTTGTTACCCTTTGAACCTCGAAGTATACTTGTTAGTATAGTAAGGTAGAATTGCCGTCATTAGTGGATTTAATTACAGAGTTTTAACCCCATTCTACTAGTTGTTGTTCGCACTAATTCCCCTGTGAGCGATTTAGGGCCTATCTGGGAGAGCTTTTCTCCCAGAAAACAGCAATTAATTGATCATTGGAACTTCAACATGGGTCCCATGAAAGCAGCAGTTTTTGAAATTTTAAACGTGAAATACCAAAAATGTCTATTTATCATGGCAACTGAATTAAATGTTAAGGACAAAAATGTCATTTTGCAGTAAAAGAATCCAACATTTCGGCTGCCTTGTCTGAGCCCGGTCCTACTTAACTGTGCAAACGATAAAAAAATAAATTTTCTGGGCAGCCAAAAGTGCTCTTAGACAGGCACTTAGTAAGTAAGTGAAATTATTTCATCTTTGATTAATTTCCTTACATAGTCATGTCTTAGTGTCATGGACTGTAGCTTTATCTAAGACCCCGTGATCCTATAGTAGCCGCAGTTTGCCCAACTTCGGCTGTACATTGTAAATATTTCATTTAATTGTAAAATAGTTAATAATTAAAAAAGTTTAGTATGATTCATCGGCTTTTTAACGTCTACTCCCGTCATAGGGGTTTTTGTTGCTAAGTCTATTATTGGGGGTATTAGTCTTTCAAACATCTTTCAAGCTTTCTAGTGTTCGCCCCTGCACTAGCCATTGTAATTTCCTGCTTTCATCTATTGTAATGTTCAGCTTTCAAGCAATCAATGATCAAGTTTATTTCAATGCATTTCAATTTCATATTGTAAGCTTTCTTTAAATTGTGATCAAATTTACTTTCATCCCGGAACGACCGAGAAAAGGCGGAAGGTAGTCTAGCGAAGCAGACTACTGCCACACGGTGTCCATTTCGGTGCTAAGAAGAAAGGTAACCCGTGAAAGTTGATATCAGAGTTGGGGCTCAAGACCCTCGATAAGAAAGCTATGGATACAATGGAATCGAATACCACGGAAGTGGTAGATCCTCAAAAGAGGACGACAAAACAGCGTTTGGAGGCCCTGGAGGTGACAAACACCAGGTTGTGTTTAGCCATGGAGGGCCTTGGACAAAAATTCGAAGTGGCAGAGACGGAAACTCGGGAAGTACGCATCCAACTGGATGAATGCCAAGAAGCTTGTGCAGCTATGACTGAAGCTGTTTCTAGCATACCTGATCTGCAGGAGGAAGTGGGAACGTTGAGTGCTCAATTGGTAGTTCTTCAACGCGCGTTTGGCAATGGGCAAGTCGCCGTGCTAGAGTCTATGCATAGGTTCAGAATTCCAGAACCGTGTACCTACGGAGGGGCACGCGATGCTAAAGAAGTTGAAAACTTTTTGTTCGATATGGAACAATACTTTCTTGCGGCTTCGATTCAAGACGAAGC